ATAACTGCTTACTTTGCTTAAGAGCCTTTGGTGAGGGACCTTGTCAAAAGCTTTCTGAAAATCTAAATACGCTATATCCACTGGATCTCCTTTGTCCACATGCTTGTTAACCACCTCAAAGAATTCTAGAATTCTAGTAGATTGGTGAGGCATGATTTCCCTTTACAAAAACCATGTTGACTCTTCCCCAACAATTTATGTTCATCTATGTGTCTGACAACTTTGTTCTTTACGATAGTTTCAACCAATTTGCCCGGTACTGAAGTGCGGCTTACTGGCCTGTAGTTGCCAGGGTCATCTCTGGAGCCATTTTAAAAATTGGCGTCACATTAGCTATCCTCCAGTCATTTGGTACAGAAGCTGATTGAAATGACAGGTTACAGATGACAGTTAGTAGTCCTGCAATTTCACATTTGAGTTCCTTCAGCACTCTTGGGTGAATACCATCAGGTCCTGGAGACTTATTACTGTTTAGTTTATCAATTTGTTCCAAAACCTCCTCTAATGATACCTCAATTTGGGACAGTTCCCCAAACCTGAGCCATTCTTTTTAGATGACAGATTTGAGGATCTCCCTCACATCCTCAACAGTGAAGACCGATGCAAAGAATTCATTTAGTTTCTCCGCAATGGCCTTCTCGTCTTTGATGGCTCCTTTAGCATCTTGATCGTCCAGTGGCCCCACTGGTTGTTTAGCAGGCTTCCTGCTTCTGATGTATTTTAAAAAATTTTGCCATTACTTTTGGAGTCTTTGGCTAGCTGTTCTTCAAATTCATTTTTGGTCTTTCTAATTAGGTTTTTACATTTCATTTGCCAGAGTTTATGCTCCTTTCTATTTTCCTCACTAGGATTTAACTTCCACTTTTGAAAGGATGCCTTTTTGTCTCTCACTGCTTCTTTTACTTTGTTGTTTAACCACAGTGGCACTTTTTTGGTTCTCTTACTATGTTTTTAATTTGGGGGAAACATTTAAGTTGCTCCTCTATTATGGTGTCTTGAAAAAGTTTCCATGCAGCTTGCAGGGATTTCACTTTTGGTGCTGAACCTTTTAATTTCTGTTTCACTAACCTCTTCATTTTTGTGTAGTTCCCCTTTCTGAAATTGAATGCTACAGTGTCGGGCCGCTGTGGTGTTTTCCCTGCCACAGGGATGTTAAATTTAATTATATTATGGTCCCTATTACCAAGCGGTCCAGCTATATTCACCCCTTGGACCAGATCCTGTGCTGCACTTAGGACTAAATCAAGAATTGCCTCTCATGTGGGTTCCAGACTAGCTGCTCCAAGACCAGTCATTTAAGGTGTCAAGAAACTTCGTCTCTGTATCCTGTCCTGAGGTGACTGTACCCAGTCAATATGGGGAGAATTGAAATCCCCCATTATTATTATTATTGAGTTTTTTATTTTAATAGCC